AAAAAAAAAAAAAAAAAGTAACCATTGAGTGGCACCTGTAGCTCAAGGAGTAGGGCAGCGGCCCCATATACCAAGGGGTAGTGGGTTCAAGCCTGGCCCTGGCCAAAACTGCAAGAAAAAAAAAGTATCAACCATTGGCCAGGCACAGTGTTTCACGCCTATAATCCTTGTACTCTGGGAGGCCAAGGCAGGTGGATTGCTTGAGCTCACAGAGCCTGAGCAAGAGTGAGACCCTAAGGCGGCACCTGTGGCTCAAAGGAGTAGGGAATAGGCCCCATATGCCAGAGGTGGTGGGTTCAAACCTAGCCCCAGCCAAAAACTGCAAGGAAAAACAAAAAGAATGAGACCCTGTCTTTAAAACTAGCTGGGTGTTATGGTGGGCACCTGTAGCCCCAGATACTTGAGAAGCTGAGGCAAGAGAATTGCTTGAGCCCAAGAGTTTGAGGTTGCTGGGAGCTATGAAGCCTTAGCACTCCACTGAGGGTGACAAAATAAAGACTCTGTCTCAAAAAAAAAAAAAAAGTATCAACCATTTATTGGACCCTTGCTATGTCCCAGACCTAACTTGGCATACAAAATGAAAAGACATAGTCCTTGTTTCAAAGAACTAATACTCTGGTGGAAAAACATACATACAAATAAAAAACAACAGGCTCACTCCTCAGACACAGAGGCAGATTAGAAAAAAAATTTAGAAATTTGTCTGGAAAAGACAGAGAAACATTAGAAGAACAAAACATTTGATTCGAGACCTTTGAAGGGCGAGCATAAGTTTGTGTAAAGAAAGCTTGGTGCTTTTTTATTTGGCTTTATCATTGCATTGACCCACGAGAGGTTTAGTTACAGGAGGTTCATGTTTATGCGTGTTAGTTTTACGATGATTCAACCTAAACATTCTGGTGACTTCCCTGAGCATGGTATTGGAAACTGCTTTTACTTGTTGTTTTTTATACACGAAATATCTGTTGTTTTGTTTTTATAAAGATGCCTGAAAAGCTGTACAAACAACTTCTTGGGTAAGGGCTAGATGAGTTCCCACCACTTAAAAGTGCCAGTATACTTAGGGCAAGCTACTGATCCCTTTAAGGAGGAAAGGCAGGGAGGGCTTGTAAGCACTTGTCATTCTCCGGAAAAGCTGGAGCTGGAAGTGACTATGATAAATGGGTAGGCAGTACAAAGTGGAATGCACAAAGACTTGTTCTTCTGGAAAGAATGGGAAGTTTAAAGAGAGCTGTTTTTGTCCACAAGCAAATGTGAAAATACAGAGAGCTCTGCATTCACCAGATACATTGGTACCAAACTGAAGTGTCTTTCTCAGTCCAACCATCAAGTTGGTTAGCAGTGGATTTGGTAGTTAGAGATTGCTGCCTTAAGTGGATGAAATGTCAGACTTTTCTTTGGGCTATCTGCTACCTTAATGTTGGCTAAGTCCTTCATCTTAACAAAACATAAAGGAAGATGATAAAGCCTGTATTTGCTCAAAAAGCTCACAACCTCATTGATAATTATAATAATATTAAAGGAAAACTATTTTTTAAACCTAAGAAACATTTTCAGACTCAGTAATTAAATACAAATTGAAAAAAAAGTTGGGTTCACTGTTTCTATACCAGTGACTGCCATGTTCAAGTTCATTTAATTGCCAACAGAAATCATCTGCCACATCATAAAAGTCATAGAATCCTGGCGGCCCCTGTGGCTCAGTGGGTAGGGCACCCACCCCACATACCAAGGGTGGTGGGTTCAAACCCGGCCCCAGCCAAACTACAACATTGTGATGGGTGCCTGTAGTCCCAACTACTTGAGAGGGTGAGGCAAGAGAATTGCCTAAGCCCAGGAATTGGAGGTTGCTGTAAGCTGTGATGCCACAGCACTCTACCAAGAGCAACATAGTGAGACTCTGTCTCTACCCCCAAAAAAAAAAAATCTACTAAGGGCAACATGGCGAGACTCTGTCTCTACCCCCCCACCCCAAGTCATAGAATCGTAAGAGTTAGACTATAAGAGCCTTAAAGAGCTTGTAATCCATTCTTCTCCTCCCTTTCACATATAAGGAAATAGTGGCCCAGAGAGGCTGAGCTCTGCTGTTGAACATAGACTTCATTTGGGACTTTGGTCAGAATTTTGCATGATGGTGACTCGAACACACCCATAGTACCTTTCAACGGTAGTAGACATAGACATAAATGAATTGTGTACTGCCCCCCTCCCCCACTCAGTGTAACTGATGCTTAGTGAACATGAAACAGATTCCAATCCATTCAGGTTTAGGACACCTGTCCCAAGAACTTATTAAGGACGCACTGTCAACAACAAAACAGTCATGAAACCTCTGGATAGTATCTTGATCCAAAGCCAAGAGGCAGGACCACAGAAAGTGTAGGCTGAATAGTCCACCTCATGATATGGATGGAGAGAGGAGCTGTTGGATTCTGTGGCATCACTTAATGCTTTCTGAGAAATTCCCCCTCTGGAGAAACTGCAGCAGTTGGTGGGACAAGGAAAAGATATCTTTGACCCGCAGAAAGACCAAGTCCTTAAGACTCTGATTTGGAAAGTCCATGAAGCCAAGCGGGCAGACAGCCACAAGCCCAGGCCTTTCTTTCCTCCAACACGGATGCCCACCGCACCCTTCGCACTGGGCAGTGCTGCTGCCCAGTGAGTCGCCCCACCTCGGTGTAGGGGGTTCCTACCTTTCCCTGCAGTTCCCCTCCCACCCTGCGGTTTGTCTTGGGCTCTGGAGAGGCGGCCCGTGGGGGAGGGGAGGCGTGGCAGTGACGGAACAGAAGCCGGGGGAGCCAGGGCCCTTCCCGCCACTGCCTCGGCCCGCGGCCGCTAGTCCCCGACGCAGCCCCCGCGGACTCGGAACCCGCCGCTCAGCCGCGCGCGCCGTGGCACGGGCCGGGCCGACTGCTCGCCGCCGCCCACCGCGGCCGGACTGGGGAACCCGGGGAACCCTCGGGGCCCGGGGGCAGCAGCGGCGAGACCCCGCCCCGCCCGGCCGCCCGGCGCCTATCGCGGTCGCCGGGCCTGGTCACGCGGAGAGAGCTGCGGGATCCGGGCCAGCGCCGCGCGGCTGCCGGAGTCGCTGCCGGCCAGGCGGGGGCGGAGGGCGGAGGTAGAAATAGGGACCAGCCGGCCGCGCCAGTCCCGCAGCCGCGCGGAGCCGAGCTGAGCCAAGCCGAGCCAGGCGGCCGCACCCGGAGCACCCATGCTGCTGACGCTGGCGGGGGGCTCGCTCTTCTTCCCGGGACTTTTCGCGCTCTGCACCTGGGCGCTGCGCCGCTCACGGCCGGAATGGACCTACTCCGACTGCGTGATGATCAGCACCAGGTACTGGGCGCGGCCGGGCCCCCAGCCGAGGCCCGGGGAGCTGCCCGCCCCACCCGGCGCCCGCACCCGCCCGTGCCCGCCCCTGAGCTCAGCGGAGGGCGGAAAAGGGGGGCGACAGGAAGCGAGGGGGCTGCCTCCAGCCCTTCCTCGCCCTGCCCTGTCTCCGCGGAGACTGGAGCTTTCCGGAGACCCTTTGCGTCCTCACCTGGCGGGAGAAGGGAGCAGGGGGAGGGCTGCCCGTGCGGGCGAGGATGGGGAAGGAGTGTGCATCTCTCCAGCCTGCTACCCACATCTGCCTACCTCTGTGAGGGGTCAGCAGCGCAGTGGCGGCGGCAGCCCTACCATTTTCCTCACCGCACTGGCAGCACAGGGTAAGTCAGGTTGAAGATTGGGCTCTGTGCAGTCCCCAAGACTGGATCGAGAGCGCTTTGTTTTTCTTCTCTTTGCCCCAAATCAGGCTGGTTTCTTCAGTGCAGGCTGTGCTGGCCACCGGGTCGGGGATCATCATCGTGCGCTCCTGCAGCGACGTAATCAACAGCAGGTAACACCCAGTGCCAGGCGAAAGAAGTACAAATAACAGGGCTGAGGAACTTTTTGGAAGTCTCCACATGGTAGTGGCTCACAGGCACCTGGTTTTTTTTTTTTTTTAACCAGCACATGCTGTTAGGTAGCTGACTGATGGGAGAACTTGGGCAGCTTAATTAGTCCTCCCTCTTCTTCTTCCAGTATCCCCAGTTTATGAGAAGGTAAACTGAAATGATAGAGACCAACAGAGTCTGTGTCTGATTTAAGGTGGTGAGAGGACAGTGGTGGTCCATTGATCCAAGCTCTTTATGAGATAGGTAAGTGTGAAAATATTTAGAGGTGGGAGTGTGGCTGCTGGTTTTCAGTTGATCTCACTGAGTTCCCACTCTGGAGCTTTCGCTGGCCAATACATGTCCTTCGATTGGACAAATCCATCACCCCTTGGCCCTGCAAAAGCTGCTCTTGTGTTTCCTTTAGATTTGCTAAAGGTAGTGAAGGGATTTCTGATGATTTCAGAAAAATGACTTGAATACGTATTGGAGCTCAGTCCAGAGACAGGTCAGGAACTGTATGTCTGTCTGCAGTTTCAGTGAAACAAATCATAAATTAAGACCACAATGGTCTACTTTTGTGTAGTGTTTAGACTTGGGTGCTTTCGATTTTTTTTGTCTTTTTTTTTCCCACCTGTCTTCTTAGAACCGCTCTCACTTTCTCCTAGTTAAGTTGAAGAACCATAGTCAGATGCGCTAGAAAAGCTGAGTGGCCTTTCCTCGTCCTTCTCTCACATTGGCTTTGTCATGTCCTGCTTGTCACCTCCTGAGACTGTAGTGTGAGGGGATCTTGAGTAGGGCATCTTGCTGTGGCTTGCAGTCTTTCTTGGAATTGATACTACTGTCATGATTTTAGTCCTTTTCTTGTTGAAGCTAAGAGAAGATACGCCAAGTGACCATGATTGCATATACATACAAAGTGCTAACAGTATGTGCTTGTCTGGGTTCAATTCTTATTTTAATTGATTATTTTCTGATCATGCAGCAAACACGGCCCCATTTGTCAGATCAAACTTGAAACCTGCAAAGATTAAATTAAGACAAATGTGGCTCCACAGCATTTTTCTTGAGGGCAAGCAGCCAGCAATCTCTGTGCATTTTAAGAAAAGCCATTTGCATATGGGTAACTTAAACAGTTCTACAACACTATAGCGGTGTTTTCTCCTCCAACCTGGTATGTTTTAGTGGCATGAGCATGGTGAGAAACTTAAGTTTGGTTTTGGTTTTTTTTTGTTTTGAGGCAGAGTCTCACTATGTGACTCTCAGTAGAGTGCAGTGGCATCACAGCTCACAGTAACCTCAAACTCTTGTGCTTAAGCGATTCTCTTGCTTCAGCCTCCCAAGTAGCTGGGACTACAGGCGCCCACCACAACATCTGGCTTTTTTGTGTGTGTGTGTGGCAGAGTTTCACTATGTCACCCAGGGTAAAGTGCTATAGTGTCATAGCTCACAGTAACCTCAAACTCTTGGTCTCAGGAGGCTCTTGGTCTCAGCCTCCTGAGTAGCTGGGACTACAGGCAGCTGCCACAACACCTGACTACTTTTAGAGACAGGGTCTGGCTCTAGCTTAGACTGGTCTCAAACTCCTGAGTTCAGGCACTCTACACACTTTGACATGCCTTGGCCTCACATAGTGCCAGGATTATAGGTGTGACCGTGTCCAGCAGGTTTTGGGGTTCTTTTGTGTGTCTTTATGCCTTAGATTCTGTTTCTAAAATAGAGATAGATATCACATTTCTGAGCCCTCAACTTCTTAC